ATCAAAAGTCGCCGAACAGCCATTACAATAAAAAAACAATAATATTTTGATAACAAAAAAAACTAACATTAATTAAACCGTATTATTCTTAACTTTGTATTTTTTCAGAAAAAAAACAATGAAATAATTTGAATTATATAGTTAATGCTAATTAATTTATAGAAACTAATATAAAAGTTTAAATAAACATGATTGTTTTCAAAATAAAAAAAAATAATATTTAAAAATACAACCATAGATTTTTTTTAAAATATTATTAATAAATAGATAAATACAACAAGAAAATCTAAAAGCAAACAACTTAAATTAATCAAATATAAATTAAAACAATAAGATAAAACGTATACGAAAATCACCGCGCGGATTTGGACATTGAATTGTAGTTCTGCAATTGGGTAAAACCGTTCCTTGAATTTTGTCATCCATGTGGACTTTTTTCTTACTTCGAAAAAGTATTTTAAAAAGTTGAAAAGTACTTTCTACTAAAAACCCAAATTTTTTAAAATTGATAATATAAACTCGGGTTGTTTACGCTATTTTCCAGTTATTTTAAGTAAACAACAACATTATTTAAACCATTTAATGACAAACAGATAAAAAATAAATGATTGGCAAAATGAATTAAATTCAATTTATGTTTTTGGTTTTGTTATTAAAAAACAGTTTAAATTAACATTTATTTATACTTTATAAAACATTTTTTTTCATCTTGAGAAATAACCATTTTTAAAACCAAATAATCCGAAAATTACACAATTATTTATATCAATGCCTGTTTTATTGTATATAATCCGCTTAATAATCGATAGCTTTAATAAGTCTAGTCCAAGGTTTTATCGGTGGTCCCTGTTATTTCTGCTATCTGTATATTTTTGAATAAAATAAAATGTTATGGTCAAAATGTAAAATATCAAATAATAATGTTATTTTATGTCATAAAAATGATATAGAATCTGATTATCATATTAAAAAATCATAATTTTCAAAATATAAAAAGGTGTGTTTTATTTTTATTTAAATTAAATTAATTTAAAAAAAGAAAAATTTTAATTTTTCTACTGATTAATAAGACTTCCATTTAATTTTCGAAGTTGTTTCAATTCACTCAAATTTGCTGCTATTGTATCTCTTCTAAGATCAAGTTCCACAAGTGAAGTTGGAAATTTAACTCTGCAATCACCACCACTCAAACAAAATTTTGTCAAACAAGTCAAACCCCTTAAATCGTTGTTTCCAAAATAATTTACATCAACATGTCCTCGTGTGACTGCACATAATTGATTTAGTAGCCATCCGTTTTCCAAAAAAGCGCAATATGTATCTCTTGGTTTTGTTTTTGGAGTATACAACAAATAGAAACCAATCATATTCAGATTATTATAGCTATAGTAAATGTTTTTGTTGCCATTATTTTCGGCGAAAATATTAAATTTATCACAATCGTCATAATTGTAAATTGCATATCTAATGTGTATTGTTATGCAACCTTCATCTTGGATTTTTTTGATATATTTAGTAAAATGCCTATCACAATCTCTGATATACCATTCAACAAATTTAAGATTGGGGAAATTGTCCATATTATCAACAAGGTTAAAAAGTCTTTATCTTGTTGTATATAAGCTCTCAGAACATTAGGCATTGGAGAATCGAGTTTATCATTTTCGAAATCATAAATGGTGTCAGATAAACGAATTACAGGGCCATTCAAAGTTATTGAGTCATGATTTTCAATCATGATATGAATATGTTTGAATAGTGCAAATGTGCTTTCAGATAAGTTATTAGCAGTATCCAGATCTATTTGTAATACTTCAAGTTTGGGGAAGTATTTTAACATCCTTTTGACGATCGTTTCAGAACAATTGGTGGAATTTTTGGACCATGGATTCATAGTTAATGATTCAATTGATTTGCCACACTTGTGTGATATACAAATAAATGGCCAAATGTCAGTTTGCGTCAAATTTAAAAATACATATTTCAAAGAAGTAAGAGAAGACGAATCACTTGCTCAGACATTTGATGTGTTTACAAGATGTATATTGTTTTTAAATATGAATAAATTTTATTATATTTTGATGTTATTTTTATTGTAATATAATAATTATTTTTTAAATTTTATTTGGTGTTGAAAATGAATTGTATTTATATTAAAGTGTAGTTTTTTATTATTATAACATTAACACCAAAAAACAATTTAGTGTTTATTTTACTGTTATTATATTAAAAAACTTAATAAATTATTTATATAATATTTATTAAAAAATAAATATAAGTGTTAGATGGGTGTTATTTAAAATTCAAAAATATGTTGTGTAACAAACATCACTCTTGTATATTATTCGCTATACTTTAATT